CAGATTGCTCTGCACCTGTGAAGGATCCAACCTCCTCTATCTGTATCTCACCAAGCCATACAAGGTGAACCAGACTCTCCAGAGCTTCTATCTTCTCAATGAGGTTATTGTCCAGCTGCAGTTTAGTCAGATTCTCCAGCTGCCACAGATTATCAATCTGCAGGATACCTAAAGCCACAGGGAAAAAAAGAAAAAAAAAAAAGAAAAGAAAATTGCTTTTCATGTGAGATCGCTTTTGGTTTACCAGACACACTACCTTGCACAAGGGAAACACGTCCAGTCCTACCTCCAAAATGATTTTCAGCGTGTGATGAGTGCCCTGGAGAGCTCAGAGGTGCACTGGCTGGATGAGATTTCAATGAAACAGCCCAGTTAACCTCAGTGTCCTGCACCAGTGCACGCTGCTCATCAGCGAGGCCAACGAGGCGCAGAGGGGCTGCTGACTATGGCCCTGCACTCCAGTGGCTTTATGAATCCAGTACTAGGAGGCCTTGACCTTCATTTTCCCTTCCAGCTCCAAGAGGATGAGCTCTGCTTTCCTCTGCATTTGCAGTCTAGCAGTTCCCAGCTCCTGCTTTTGTAAATGACTCTCCTGCTGCCGGCACTCTCATCACGGGAGAGGAAGTTGGAGTCTACTCTTTCAGTGAAGGCTGCAGTTTGGAACTAATCAATATCCCTGCATTTCGCCTCCTCCAAAAAGCAGAATCACAAGGGCAGGCTGTGAGGCACTAGAGCAGAACATCGGGGCCAAAGGGACAGGAAAACCAGAATATTCCCATTCCCATTTCTCTTCCCAGATCTCATTAGCTGCTCTCCTGCTATCCTCATTTACCGAGGGCAGACTAAAGCAGGGAATTGCATGCACAGAATGTTCACACGGTCTGCATTTTGTCTGTGCAAGCAAATCTATGCAGGCTCAGGTCAAGGGAGTCTTTTCCAAGGAAATCAACTCATACACACATTATTTGCTGGAGCACACAGTGAACAAACAAAAGTAGATTTTTGCCCATCAAATTACAACACCCTCCCCCCAGTACTCAAATATTGAGCCAAATGTTCTTCTCTTTCACTTTCTGAATGCAAGTTTACGACTGGTTTGACAGTAAGAGGCAAGCTGTGGTAAAGCTACGGATGACCAGAGGACGCCACCACACTGGACTGTAATCACCATAATCCCCAAAACTGCTTTCACACGATCACCAGCCGTGGCAGAGCCTGCCCAGGGTTGGATTTGTCCACGCACCGAGGGGCCCTGTAGGCCCGTGGCCTGTAGGTGTCACCACAATATAAATGTTAAACGAGAACAGCAGTGACGATAACAATGGGAAGCGAAGCAGCTTTGAGGTTACCCATCAGCAAAAGCACCCAGCTCGCTCACACTTTGCACAGGGATGGCCAACAATGCAAGTTCCGATGTTACTTTTCACATAATAAATCCAAGCTAATCGTGATTGTTTAATTGCCAGTTACCCGCCTTGTGCTTTGCTCTATTACCTTCTAACGAAGGAAGGGAGAATGCATATATTCTAATACTCACTTTTAAAGCTAAGCTGCAGCTCTGTCACATCCTTAAAGTTAATATTTTCCCCTTGGGCGAGATCTCCAAGGTCCTCTGGAAATGTCTTTTCAACGGCTTTCAGAATCATTTCATCATCGATAATGTTTGGCTCAACGTCATTGAAAAACTGACTCATTGTGAGAAGTGTCGGCCTGAAAGGACAGAAAGGGAAAATAAATTAAATCACTGCCCTCAGACAATTTCCAGCAGTCACAGAATCGCAGAATCCCAGATAATGGTTTGGGTGGGAAGGGACTTAGAGCTTATCCAGTCCCACTCCCTGCCGTGGGCAGGGACACCTTCCACTAGCCCAGGTTGATCCAATCCCCATCCAACCTGGCCCTGGACACTTCCAGGGATGGGGCTTCTCTGGGCAACCTGTGCCAACACTTGACAACTCTTTCAGTGATGAAATTCTTCATGGAAATCCCTAATGTTGCCCCGGAGGTATGAGACTATTAGTCTTTCCCGAACCCTGCACAGCTAATGAATCAGTATGAAGGACTGGAACCGTCAAGCTTTTGCTTGCGTAAGATGTCTGTAATTATGGAAGTTGTTCTGAGGGTTTTTTGTGTATAGGACAGGAAGGATAAATATCTAGGTTTAGAGAGTTCTATTCTCATCAAGGCTTTTCATTAACAGACCAAACCTATGGGTGTGCTCAGTAAAGACCAAAGAGCAGCAGGTTCTGGGTTTATCCATCCTTGACCTTCCTTCCCACCTTCCTTGTAGAATCCCAGCATGGTTTGGGTTGGAAGGGACCTCAAAGCCCATCCAGTCCCACCCCCTGCCATGGGCAGGGACACCTTCCACTATCCCAGCCTGGGGATAGTCCCGCCTGACCTTGGGCACTCCCACGGATGAGCACTTGTCCGTCGTCCCTTCAGTCAGTGCCAGTTCCAACCACCCGTCCCCGGTGGGTGCGAAGGGGCCGCCGGTTCCCCCCACGAGACACACCGAGGCCGAGATGCCGGCCCCTCAGACCTCTCACCCGCAGGCCCCCGGGGCTCTGGGTCGGCTCTGTGCCCAGTTCCTAATTCCTTATTCCTTATTCCCAATCCCCTATCCTCGATTCCCGGTTCCCGGGCCCCACCCGCGCCTTGGCGCCCGTTGCTAAGGAAGCCCGAGGGTGTTGCTAAGGGCGGTCACATGACCTCCTCGGGCACCAATGCGAGCGGAGTGGGTAGGAGGGCCAGCTGCCAATCAGGGCGCGAGAAATCCGTGTCAGCCAATCAACGCCGGGACCGTGCCCTCGGGGCGGAAAGGGGCTCGCGTGATTGACGTTTACCTCGCCCAATAACTTTACAGGAAGGTTTGGCCTTTGTCCAATGGCGAACGGCAGTCGCGGTGTGCCCGCTGTCCATCAACCGGGAGGCGGGGGTATAGGCGGGGCTACAGTGGGGGCGGAGCCCTGGCTTGACAGTGATGGACACGCCTATCAACCAATGACACTGCGGCGCGTCCGGACAGAGCCCAATGGAAGGTGGGGAGGCGGGCCGTTCTGGCCAGAGCGCGCTGTGATTGGTGGGTGAGGCTGTCAGTCAGGGCGCGGTGCGGGAGGGGGGGCGTCGGGCCGCTGTTTGTTGTCATCCCAAGATGGAGTTTCTGCTGGGGAACCCGTTCAGCACCCCGGTGGGGCAGAGCCTCGGTAAGGCGGCCAGGGGGGCTCCGGGAGGGCCGGGAGAGCCCAGGGAGCGAGAGGGGCCT